TCATAGAATCATCAAACTGCAGAGTTGGAAGTGACCCTGAGGGTCATCTAGTCCAACCTCCTGCAATGCAGGAATCTCGACTGCATCATCCATGCCTTAATTATGAAAATGAATGCTCAGTGATTTGAACTGTAACTGAACGTGTCATTTAGATTAAAAAATAATAATATGGCAAGAGGCAAGCTAACTTGCAAAAAGGCAAGCAAACTGCAAAAAGTGCCCCAAGCTAATTTAACAATTCTGCATTCATGTGCAAGCCACCTTTGAAACATTTCGAAGTAGTCCCATCATTGCCTACCTGGAGATTCCCTCTATTTGCACAAATTATCCCATGTAGACATAGCTATTCACTCCCTAAACTCTTCGGCAGAACTGCCACTTTAGTCTGTTTCAGATTCTGCTTTGGTTAGGGTTTACAATAATTGCTTCTAATTCTGTTCTACATGCTGTTATATACATAACACATATATATCTCCATTGCCAAAAACATGATTACGCAACTAGCCTGGCATATAAAAAGGCAGACCGGCTGGGGTATTTCAACAGAGCTAAAGATGTAGGGGCAATGGATACCATACAACATCCCAATTAAAAAGCTTGAAATAATTCACTATATCCCATCATTACTTTTTAATATTTTAAACAGCAGGTGAGAATACAAAGAAATCTGAACTACTAAACATGTCACATTTCCTCTAGCACATGCACAAAACATTTATTTCTGTATATTCTTGCACCTATTAATCTGTAATGTCCATGAAATCTTGTGCCCCTGACATTAAGATTAAAGCACACCTGTGTGGCAGCAAATTCCACGGAAATCACAAGGACTAAAGCCAATTCCTAGGCTGTGTCCACACTCCTGTTTACTCAGCATCCTGTGCACTCCCACCCCTGGTTTGGGAAGAAGGAGACACAGGTTGGCTGCAATCCATATCTATCCTTTGTCTATCCTGTTGTTTCATATATAATACTGTGTATCCTGTTGTTTCATATATAATACTGTGTTTTGATGCTCCCAATCAGCTTTTTCCAAACAGAGAAAAGGAATGGCCGTCGCATTTTAGGCTGGTACTGTGTACACAGCCCTAGCCACTGATCTTCTGTGTGACAATGAGCAGGCATATTCTGCATGCACTACATTTTCCACACTACTTTCAAGTGGCTCTTGTGAAACCACTGAGCACTGTGCAAAATGTCAACATGCAAAGGGTTCCTTGTCTACAGTTGGCCTGTACATAACCCATTCTGTGTGACAATGGCACCTAGAAGCCATGAGCAGTGGTTGTTCTGACTATGGTAATTACCTCCTGAAATCAATTCTTTCATTTCTTTTACACACAGTAAGATACAATGCAGTGATTTCACCATGAGATTATCACATCAGGGCAATGTACTATATATAAATAGCAAAATACAAAAAAATGCAGTAATGTGTCCCATCTAACCTGGTTCTGATGGCAAAGAGGTACTAATGCAATCCAAATACAGCTGGGGACCAAAGGTTGAGAAACACTGGTGGCAAACCCTCCTTCCCTTACAGCATGGTCCCAATCTAGCTCAGCACCTACCATATTTTTCGCCCCAAGGGCACACCGCCCCATAGGACGCACCTAGTTTTTTTTTGGGGGGGGAATATTTCCCCCCCAAGCGCGGGGCTGGCGCGGGGGAAGCCCGAGCTTCCCCCGACCCCAGCCCCGAGAACAGACTGCTATCCGCAAGCCTAGGGAGCCCGTCGGGAGCCCCAGGCTTCGGAATGCAGGCAGCTCTGCACAGCCCTTGGGAGCTCGGCGCGACTTCGCGCCGGTCTCCCGAGGGTTGCGCAGAGCTTCCTGAAGCCTGGAGAGCGAAAGGGGTCGGTGCACACTGACCCCTCTCGCTCTCCAGGCTTCAGCGAAAGCCTGCATTCGCCCCATAGGACGCACACACATTTCCCCTTCATTTTTGGAGGGCGAAAAGTGTGTCCTATAGGGCGAAAAATACGGTAACTTGTGCTAGCTCTCTGTTAAATAAAAAAATCTGCTAATACTAGAAAACAGAACCTGTCTCTGGTATACAGGAATAGATCAATGTACGAAGCTATGTATGAACAATTTCTTTTTTTAAAAGATGAAAGCTGCAACGTTTGGCATTTTACAAGAATCTTTCTGCGAGAGAAACATGGCTTAGTCTGCAGTTTGTGTCTGACAAGCATAAACTAACATCATCTCTACTTAACTGGCCAACAATCTGGGAGTAGCTAGCAATAATGATGTGAGATAACCTCTCCTATGAGTATGTTTGCTCAGGTGGGCCATTCTTTAAAATAAAGATATGTTGCAGATTATTTGGGTTTGGTTTTAAAAAAACAACAGCTCCACCTCAACATACTAAAACCTCAACCACTTAAAAAAGAAAAGAAAGCTCTGTACTAAAGAGAGATCGCAAAACAGCATAAACGTTGTAGCATTCCTTCAGTATTATCACAGAATGTCATGGCAACTCTCCCAGAGGTGGACTGTACAGCTTCAACTAGCACTGCCATATATAAGTAAGCTATGAAACATAGGAAGCTGCCTTATACCGAGCCAGACCATTGGTTCATCTACCTCTGTATCATCTAAACTGACTGGCAGCTGCTCTGCAAGGTTTCTGATAGGGGACATTCCTAGTTCTAGAATGGAATTGAACCTTGAATCTTCTGGATACAAATTAGATGCTCTGCTACTGATCTATGGTTTTATAGACCACACTACAAAATTTGCATCTATACCTCTTGATTTTTTTTCCAAGGAAGAAAGGAGAACACATTTATTTTTCCTCTTTCCAGAAGCTTTTATGTTATCCAGCACAATTCAAACCTCAAGGAAAAAGTAACTTCCAGTTCTTAGAAGCTCACCTATCCAGAGCAGTTTTTCAGAAAGTGTAAGGGTAAGAGACTAATGGCAAAAGTTGCTTCCCACCTTCTTCCAGTGGGAGCATCCCACAAACAGAATGCCACTCAGGGGATACTGCTGCCAGCAGGAACCATGTCTGGATCCCAGCCATTATTTTATTTATTTCATAAAATTTATATAACCCTTGACTGTAAACAACAACCACGTCCAAGCAGTTTACAAAAAACAACACAAGAAAATCAAGAAAAAAGCACTAAAACAGATAAAATTACCCCAGCATTTTAAGCATCTGGGTAGGCTTGTCTATGCAGAAAGGATTTTAGCAGGTGCTGTTGATGTTCACCTGCCATTCTGTGGACTGGTAACTGAATATTTTGTTTTGGATTTTAAACTTTTGTCTCACTGGCCAACCTGGATTCCACTGATGATAGACCAGAACTATTTCTAATTTAGGCAGCAGCAACAAATTAGAACTGCTTTCTGCTCAACTCCACAGGATGACAGCAATCAGAATAGAGGCCTATTAAAAATTCAAGCTAGTCTATGGCCATAGGGAATCCTGGCTCCCTTGGGGATATTCTAGGCCTCTTCCTTGAATTTTCTGCTTTCATCCAAAGCTGTTAAGTGTAAAGCATTAAATCTTCCGGTTTACTGGCCAGCAAATTAGAAAGGCAAGGAGATAACTGACCCAGGCCAGCTCCTCTTTTCAGAAATCTTATTTGTTTTTATGAATATTTAATACAATGAAATAAATGTAAACAAAACACAGCACAATTCTAGGTCAACTCAAAAGTCCATTGTATTGAATTCAATGGGGCCTACTCCCTGATACCTAGGGTTAGGACTGCAGCTTTAGACCATCTTTATTTAGGTTCTGGATGTTCCACATTCATTCCATCCCCCCACTTTGGCACCTTAAATAAAAATTTTTGACCTGGAAATAGGACAAGGCAACTGCTCTTTAAACAACACTGCATGTACAATATGCACTATTGTTTTTGTTTTAATATAAGTACTATACATACTCAAATAAAAGCAAGTTTGAAGCAGCATAGGAGAGAGAGAGAGAGAGAGAGAGAGAGAGAGAGAGAGAGAGAGAGATACTTAACTGACCTCTGGTGGGGAATGCAGAAAATGCATTTCTACAAGAATTGTTTATATGTGGTCTTGCCTTATTGGTCCCAGGGAATGAAAAGAGTTGGGCTTTCCAATTTTGTGCTATGTCAAAAATTGAGAAGCATAATACCAACTCCTTCAAAGAAGTAGAAGACCTAGCACTGACCCTGTGGTATACTGCAGGACGTGAAGATATGTACCAGGCATGAAACAAATGTACACAGATACTGTCTCTTCCTGCACAATATGGTTGAAGCACGTAACTACAATCACGAGGGGGGAAATGTGCAAATAATTGATGTTCTAACATGATATACTGGATATAAACACATGGAAGTATGTCCCACTGTTTTAACAGAACTTACTCCCATGAAAATGTGCTTGGGATCATAGATTACAAGATAAAGATGAGATGTTATGCACAATAGCTTCTTTTGTCCTATTGTCTTCTCTGATCAAACAAGTCTGCAAATTTTTGAAGCACTACACAAACAAATTTGACTACAGATATTAGCTGGGTAAGTGTGCACACCATCACTCATCCATTTTAATTCATCAGGGCTGCTCTGACGTTTGCTGAATTCAACAATTTATTGGGCCTAACAAGATCGGTTTAACAGATTGTTTTGCACCAAACTGTAGTCTTTGAAAAAAACAACCCAAACTCAACTTTCTCCAGGCTAAGATGAACTGAACTGCTAGTCAACTGAAAGCCATTCAAAGAGAATATATTGAATGCATAATCATATTCTTCCTAATTCTTGTGTATATAGACTGCTACAATTATTTCACTGGAGTGAGCAGATCCACACAAGTAGAAGAACGAAACCATGGATCTGCATCCTTCACTGGCACCTCTTGCAGGGAGCAGTGCTCTGTGTACACACTGGGGCTCCTATGCCCGTAAGGAAGGGCTCTATCAGAATAATTAGCAAGTTATACATTTCTAAAATGTATATATTTCTAAAGGGGGGGATCCTTTATTTAAAAATGAGAATAAATATTTACCTTCAGTTTTTCAACTTCATTTTTGTGCTCCTTCTTTAAGTGCAAAATAGCAGCATGGTACTCTAAAAGTAAAATAAATGAAATTACTGGTCAGATCAATGACACAAAAGTTACTGAAGTTCCAATGTGAGCACTAATAATAATAATAATAATAATAATTTATTTATACCCCGCCCTCCCCGGCCAGAGCCGGGCTCAGGGCGGCTAACACCAATAAAATTACAATAAAACATAATAGGTGGGAAACAAACAAACAAACAAACAAACAAACAAACAAACAAACTGTTAATTAAAATACGGGTTAAAATACAATTTAAAATGCAGCCTCATTTTAATAGTAGCTCACAAATAAAAAACATAAGGGGAGGGAAACATAAGAGTCAGAATGAGTCCAAACCAAAGGCCAGGTGGAACAGCTCTGTCTTGCAGGCCCTGCGGAAAGATGTCAAGTCCCACAGGGCCCTAGTCTCTTGTGACAGAGCGTTCCACCAAGTCGGGGCCAGTACTGGCCAGCCCTGGCCCTAGTACTCTATCTAACTTGGGCCTGCCAAAGGACATGTTCTGGCTGCAGTACAGTAAGGAGGAACTAACAGTGTAGTTATGGCATTGCGTTAGTTTGAGCATCCTGAAGACCAAGGCCTGTTAAGCCTATGAATGTCACTGTTTATGACAGCATTTTAATGTATCTAACTTTTTACTTTGTATTCTTGAATTAAAAATATTTTAATTTATGGATTTTAATACAATGAAATAAACCAAAAGTGGGTATGCTTGCCCAGTAATCAACAACTGATGCCTCTTTAAGAGAAATGTGACTTGGCGAATGATACTCTTATATGATGGAGTTTAATAATGAGGAGAGATGAGAGGGAGAGGGAGTGGTGGCGATTCAGGTGTATATACACACCTGAATATAGAGCCTGCTGGTCCACCCTCTATGTCCACTTGCCTCCTGGCCCCACCAAATAGTTGCAAGGAGTGCCTAGGCACAGGTAGTGAGTCTCAGGCCGGTCAAAGGTTTGCAGCTGATCAGCTGATTGAAGGCTGCTGAAAACCTTGCTTCCTTTGCCCACATGGCTTGAAATCCAACTATGTGGGCATTTGATGTCATGGTGATGTTAGATGATAGGCAGGTGGACTATCTACCCTATATGTCAAAGTAGCCTGTGAGGGTTTGGGGAGTTCTGGCTCTGGACAAGGTAGATCCAGTCCCCCACCCTTCTCTCACAGTCTTGAAAATGGAACAGGTGATACAGGAAAGGTGTTTAACATTTATTAAATGCCAATTATCCTTGCTAGGTAGAATTTGCATTCACAAGCCACAGACATTCCATCAGCAAACAAAACAGGAGGGATGGAATCAGACAGATGTTTTATGTGGAATAGACAGAACAAATAAGACTAGAGTGGTTGAACAAATAATCACTGAAGAAATAGTTTGTGGTGTTGAGAGTAATAAAGGAAGACAGCAAAGTGATATCAAAAACAGAAAGAAGGTTGCTGTTTCATTTACTGTTGCTAGACTAATCTACCAGGATATACATTTATTCCATGTTTATTGAGACTGTATATGAGGATTTCACTTTCTCGTTTCAAGGAAGGCAGAAAGAAACTGTCCTGAGAACAGCTTGCTTAAAGCAGCATTTGGCTCAGGAAGTAAAATGTATAGCTAATTCTGCTTTCTAGGAAAAGGATGGAATCTACATTGGCTGTGGCTACCTAGGAAAGTTAACTTCAGGTCATAGTGGAAAGCTCACAAAAGTGACAGCACTGGGTGATAAAAGGTAAAGGGACACCTGACCATTAGGTCCAGTCGCGGACGACTGGGGTTGCAGTGCTCATCTCGCTTTATTGGCCGAGGGAGCCGGCGTACAGCTTCTGGGACATGTGGCCAGCATGACTAAGCTACTTCTGGCAAACCAGAGCAGCGCACGGAAACACTGTTTACCTTTCCGCCAGAGCAGTACCTATTTATCTACTTGCACTTGGACATGCTTTCGAACTGATAGGTTGGCAGGAGCAGGGACCAAGCAATGGGAGCTCACCCCGTTGCGGGGATTCGAACTGCCGATCTTCTGATCGGCAAGCCCTAGGCTCAGTGGTTTAACCCACAGCGCCACCTGTCCCATGCACTGGGTGATACACTTTAACTATTAGGAAAAAGGGTTAAAAACAAAACAAGTATCATAACACCACAACATAAATTACATAGTGTGTTCACATTTTGGCTGCTGTGTAAAAGCTACAGTCACCTTATGTCAAAAAGGTTACCAGAGAACTAGAGAAAGACAACCAACCACCTGAGATTTTTGCATGAGAAAAGGCTCAGAGGTTGTAGCTTTCCTTTTAAAAAGATTAAAACAAGTTAAACCCTCAATAAAATAAATCTGAAAGTTACTTCTTGCTATGCTAGTTCCATAAAAGTGCAGCTAAAATGTTATGGTTTCCTCCTTTGCTATTTTAAGACTTGAACACCTCACATCAAAAGGACACAATTTACTTTAAAATGCTTTATTTAAGAAAGGTGTATTCTACCTAGCCCAAGTTTGTACACTGTGTGACAAAGGATGACTGGTTAACATCCCTTTGATCGACAATCACCTTTTCCCTACATGTGGCCTCCACCCATGTGGGAAGGGCCCTCTTAGTTTTCTTTCCTTTCCTTTTCTTTTTAAAGCACAACCAGCTGCACCTAGGATATAAACATAAATGAATACTTTCTTCCCTAGCAAAGTGATATTTTAATATTTTTAAAATACTAGGTGTTCGAGTTGCCCTTTGTGAATAGAAGGGACTATGATCTAACAGGGGATGGTGGAATACAATTTTTTGTCAGTTCCCCTTTCCCTGTAGTCAGGGACATCTTGCCCATAGAGGCAAGTGGCGCGGGGTGCCAGGGCGCCAAGTTCTGTAGGGAGCCAGGGAAGAGGCAGAGGCTGGGCACAGCGCTACCCAGCACCAGCTCACCGCCCTCGCCCGCCTTTCTGACACCAAGGGTCACCAACAGCAAGGGTTTCTGGCACCCTCTCGTTGGAATGTGTTCTTGGAAAGTACTTGCATCAATTTAATCTGCCGTGTCATGGTGCCTGGGTGAAGCTGAAGACGAAGGTTGCATCACTATATTAAATCAACTGTTTTTTCAATATACTGCTGTGCTTATCTGTTACTTCCATATATTTTAAGAACACAAATGGACAGATGCTATTGCTGGTATTCCATATACTTTCTGGCACAGACTTGAATCAAAGGGGCCCAGAGAAGCCAGGCATCACTCCCACAATTCAGAATTAAAAATTTAGGAGGCAGGGGCGTCACATGACATTTCATTTGGGCTGGGGGCGGGGAAGGTGCCTTATCTCTAACTAGATACATTTTCAAGATTGCAGTTCAACAGAAGTGACCACAGCAATAACTTCAGGATGATAATCAAAATCAAATTTGAGTCAGCCAGCATTTAATTCATATTGAATAAAGCTTAGGAAAAACAAATGGGGAAGCAGCAAGACAAGGCTGATTGAACCATGAAGCATAACAGAAAAAACTGCATGCATAAGAACATAGCAGTTACAATGACAACTGTAAGGTGGAAGTAAATATATATATATATATTTGACAGCATCACATTTAAACTGGGATGTATTTCGAGAAACACAGCTTCAAATTAATATTTAAAACACTTCTCTTACTGGTGTCTTAAAAACATAAAACAGATACCTAATGTAACACAGCAGAGAAACAACCAACAGGTAACACAGTATGGTTTAATGCACCAACATCGGATGGCAAAGAAGCAGGTGAAATGAAGGCAAAACCCAAAGAACTTTTCTGGATGCAAATACGGTACATAGCCTATTACCCCATAACACAGGAGTAGGAAAGTTGTGGACTTCCAGATGTTGCTGTACTAGTTCCATCATCCCTAACCACTGGTCCTGATGGGACTTGGGAGTTCAACAACATCTAGAGGGCTATAGGTTCCCCACCAATGCCCTAAGGCAGGGGTGAAGTTTATGGAGAAAACATTTCAGGATGTTCAACCCACTCTCCTTATTTGTTACCTGACTTCATTTGATAATTTTCTTGACTAAACAAGATAGCTGTACAGTATCAGTGATGCCCTCCTGGGAGAAGTTGCTTCCAGTTTTCCAAACCTCCCTCCTGCTATACATGTCCCCTATCATTCTCTGCAGGAATAAATACATGGCATCAACCTATTGTGGCACTTCCACAATGTGAAATCTAAGCATAACCTGCAGAAAAATAGTATTAATAGATGAAAGTCAGTGGGCTATAAATGTCACTATTGATCAAAGTACAGCACACAAAGTTATTCTGATGAAGTGCTGGTTGTGGCCAAGAGGCACTGGAGTTTATTTACTCCTCCTGCTATGAATTCTTCTTATATTACATATATATGAAAATATACAGTGCTTCTATATTGCTTCTTAAACTTCCCAACGAATATTTCTAATAGGTCTTGAATGTTCCCTCATACAATTCATGGAAATAGACCTTATGGGACACATAAAGCACAGAGATGACAGACAAGGACATTGGGTGTCACATTTTACCCACCTGGCTTTGCCGTGAAAGATACCAAGTCAGCTAAAGAGGTAAAAGCACAGGTAAAAATGTAGTGCAGCCTCACTCAACCAAAACATCTTTATTTTCACTTACGGTAACTGGATTTACTAGCAATTCTCATAGAAAACATTTTATTTCAGTTATTGTTATATACTGAGTTGAATAGGATCCAAATGCAGCAGTCTGATTGGTACTAGAACAATAGGATCCAAAATGCAGCAGTCTGATTGGTCCTAGAACAATGCAGCAGTATGATTGGTCCGCAGGAGCCATCCAATCCAGCTCCAGGTGGAAGTGAATCCGCAACCTGATTGGCCTACAGGAGAATCCAGGAATTAGCCAATCATGTGCGGCCCATTGTGTAAATAATGTATATAAAGCAGATATTTTGGGGGAACTTTCATTCCTCACTACGAGCTGAATAAAGAGCATGAAATCCACACTCGACTCTGAGTATATTTCAGTTATGAAAGCACTT